GTGGTTGTTGGTGGTGGGTGGTTGGTGGTTGGTTGGTTGCAAGCGCTGCGCCTGCCACACAAATCACAGCGGCACAGAAGCGGCGACCCAGGAGCCCCAGGGCGTACATCCGACCCCTTGGAGAGCAGCAAGTGCTGCGCTTGCCACGCAAATCACAGCGGCGCAAAGGCTACACCACTCCGTTCTTCCCACTTTAAATCGTCCTTGCCATACTTCAACATGTGATGCAACAACCATTCTTTTGCACGTACCGTCATTGGAAATGCCGAGTGTAGTGGAGAAGCGAGGGGTTGAGTTTCTCGGTCTGTATCCGTGGTCTTCCAAACATTTCCACAGAGCATCTAAGGTTCCTGTGTATGCTGGTGTATGATAGCTATTACCTCTTTCATTGTTCAATTGCTGTTCAGCGAGCATGAAAGCACCGAACACCACACAGACCAAATCAACGGTAGACAAGAAGGTGGCTCAGAAAAGCAAACAAGCAAACGATCTCCCACCCCCCCACCCACCAACCCACCCCCCTCGCCACACCCAACCCCTTTCAAGTGTTGAACGCAGCACGAACCGAAGACATAAGAACATGCATCAGCTTATATGGGAACACATAATAGAAATTAAGGCTGAAAACACGTATAGTATTCATATTGTTTCACCTGATACAACATGTAACTACTGAAACTAGGGGCCGGCAAACGCCCCCTCTAGCCAAAACATCACAAAACATCACACCGCGCCATCCCACGCCCTACCACGCCTCCGGCCAGGCCTTATTGACCGTGAGCCGAAAGGCCTTCGCCCGCTTTCGCACCTGCGGCCAGCTGCACCGTGCCCTGCATGAGAGTTTTCTGGAACGCTTGCAAGACAGCTCGCTGTTTCAAACAGCCTTGCCCTCAAAAGGTGCGGGTGCACGTGGAATGCTACAGTACGGCTTTGGACTTCATCTAAGCTCTTCCCTCCACCATCCTCCGGCCGTGTGGCCCATCTACCCGGTCCGGTCGGTGCGGCAGCCTGGCCTTCTTCCCAAGGTGCGTCTTCTGCGGCTCCAGCACGCAACGATTGATGTGGAGCTTTCCCAGCAGCAGACCGACCTGGAACAACACCAACATCGGCTGCAACACCCACAACCCAACGCCCACAACTGTAGTCAAATTCCTGTTAAGATGAACATATACACCCGGGAAAATGAACATGGAACCTGAAAATGGACCTTTGGAAGACGATTCTCCTCTACAACTCAGTGGTTTTCAGGTTCCATGTTAAATGTCCAGTGTGTAGTATATGGTTCCTATTCCCTGTAACGGACGATGATGTTAAGAAAAGGCCTTGGGCCCAATCCTGTGATGAACATCCTACGTTCCCGTTCCTGTTGAACATGGTGTTGACCTGTAGTTCGAACCGAACCCGTCCGACTCCCAGTGACGTCCATGGAGCGTCCGAACTGACGTTTCGACCTGGAGCGACCATGAATCGCCTGGCCTGTCTTCGACCTGGCTCTGGTCTTTGGTTCAGTCCCAAGTATGGAAATGGCTCTGGTGTTTGGCTCTGGTCTTTGGTTCAACTCCCAACCGATCAAACCCGGAATTCCCCGTCGATCGACGCCACGGACCCCAAACTGGTCAACAGCCCCCCCTTCCGGATCCCCAACAACTCGTGACCCCCCACAGAGTCCAACGACTCTTTCCGGTGGATGCGCCCTGGACCTCCCCCGGTCTCCGGCACCTCTATAAAACGTGGACGTGGGAAGTGGTGCACCCGGATCCGCGGTTCGTGGACCGAGTTTTCGGTCGACCCAACACCCTACACTCCATGGGACTGGGACGGACTGCCGCCCCAGCCAGACCCCCCTGGCACCACCACCCCAACTGATCTGCATCTTTGACCAGTCCCATGGGAGCGTCGTTCGTGCACCAGATCCCGCGGAGCGAATCCACCGGACGGGTCAACGGGTCACCCGGTCCATACCGGACAGACGGGACTGGAGCGAATCGACCGGTCAGAGCGGATGGTCTACAGAACGCAGCTGACAGAGAAAGCGTGGCTGATATCGGATCATTACAGGTCCGTGAAGGGGACTTTCTCTATTCCTGCCAGATGGTCCAACAGTTTCTACTCTCACTTTCATGTTCTGCAGAGTTTTCGATTGCCTATGCTGCTACCTGAAGAATGCAGGCAACCAGAAAGTTGCTTCATTGATCCATCGCGCACCTTCCTTCTCCCCAAAAGAATGGATGATTCCATGGTCGACATGACTCAACACGACTAAACAGCAAGTAACCAAGTACTAGTAGACGATACCAAGTACACCGTTTGCAGCTTGTTACCAAGTACTAGTAACAAGCTGCAAACGGTTGTAGCTAGCAGACGTCGCTTCGTCCGTACGGCGAACCGACCGGACCGCTCCGCGGTGCGGAACCGAACGGTCCGAAGGGATGGGAGATGGATGGCGACGGACGGTGGTTGAGTATCGATTCTGTGAACATGCGGGAAATCATGTACTTGGATGATTTGGACTTGGATGATTTGGATTTGGAAACTCATCAGTATGGATTTGGATGATTTGGACTTGGCTTCCCAACCTTTCCTCCTTTTTATAACTCTTTGGTATTCAGTTAGGGAGAGGAACTTAGGGCTGGAAGAGCACGGAGTTTGGGAATGTATAGGGAATGTGTTGTTTCCAGTCTGCTACCGAATCCAGGTCTCAACTAGACTACCCGACTGAACACCCACTTGTTCCTCGCCCACCCGGCTGAACCGCTCATCCCGCTGGCCTTTCTTCGACCCTAGGGGGTTTGATGAATTGGGAGCTTGAACATCTGACCTCCTAATATCATGAACAATTATGAACCATATGAAACACTGCTGCAGCTTGCATGCGAATGGATGGCCCGTGGCACATGGCGGGTTGACAGTTGACAGTTGACTGGTGGGGTGTCCATTTTGTTCATGTTAAAAAAGGTACCCGCGTGTCCAACCACAAATCTGGCATGTGACTGTCTGATGACCGGCAGAGTTCAATGATATTCACATGTGCACCGTCGACATCAGTGACTCGTTGTGACAGACCACCGGACGACCTTGGTAATCACTGCGAGGTATCTTGGGAAAATGCAGGTCGACATCGCACTGGTTGCGAGGCAGGCTGGTGATTTTCTCAGGTGTTCTTCCATCAATTCATGTGATGTTCATATCAACAACCTTCAAGAAGCAACAATTTGTTCACCATCTGCTTCAAAAATATGTCCCTTTTAAATAAGGTGGCCATGCAGTCTACTACAAATACCAATTATATTAAACGGCTAAAGGACTCACACTTGGCTTTATCATGTGCACTATTGTGCACTTCTTCTCCCTAGTAAACGATCATCCAGCCAAGAATACAAGGAACAAACATGGACCAACAGCCATGTTAGTGTTCCCTGCGTTATCTGGGCCCTGCTGATCCCAAAACGTGTTAGTCTATGGTTTAAAGATTGTTGAACACACAGTTGGTTGACATACATATTCTGAGAGGCATCAAAATCTTGTTGCTCCAAACTCTCTTCCCTGCAACCAAATCTCTTGTGCCGGAAAACCGACAGAGCCGCCAAAAACCCACGCGACGCCCTGCTGCCCAGCGGCTCCCGACATTGGCAGGAAGCCATGCCACACCAGCACCGCCACCAAGGCAGCGGTGCGCTGGAGCGGATGGCGGAACGGACGACTGATCGAACCTACGGATCTACGGATGGGGCGAGACAGAAAGAATCACCTGGAGAATAAAACTCCTGGACCTGTCTTTCTTTCTGGGGGCGGTGTCTTTTTTTTCTCCAGGTGTTTTTGGTCTATCGCGGGATGGCATCAGTAGCCGTATCAACGTGCCGTCCGTTGCAGGAAAAGACACATCAAACACATGAGGCAATCGTTTGCACAAATGACAAAAGGTTTGCAAATGGTAGGCATGTTCGTCGCAATCTGAGTTGATGATGCTGAGGTTGCTGCAAGAATTGGTTTGCACATATATGGACTATATAGTACTATATATATGCAGTATATATGCCGTTTGTTAGTATATCAGTATATCACAGAAAAGGTAGAATGGTATCACCAACAAATCGCACTGCAAGTTCTGTGCTGCAAGCTCTGATGCATGTCTAAAGCTCTGATGCATGTCTAGTCTTAACCACAAGGAAAACACTCAGGAGGTGAACATCCCAGACACGCCCACCACCGAGTCTGGGAGAGTCTCGACATGTGCCATGTGCCATGTGCCCAGCTTCGGTGTGCGGCGAACGTTGGGACAAAGAGACCGCATCTGCAGTTTCACCCTTCTCCCATGTCTTTTTGGTTTGTAAAGCAAAAAATTGATGGCACACCGTCAGTTCTCGACGGATATGTTCAATGGATCCTTTGATCATAATAAACTACTGTACCTGTTTGTAAACCATTCTCTATGATGCAATTGAGCCCTTGCTGTCGCACCTAGTGTCATCTGGAGCATTGAACATGGAGGGCAAGCAAACCACTACCAAACACAGCCATCATGTGGTCAACAAATATCATATCAAGCCTTGCCGTCATGTAGTCCTGCAAAAGAGTGAACATCAAAGTCCAGCAAGAGTTGGTCAGTCCGAGTCCAACAATTCCAGCATATTCCAACTAATGGCCCACATGAGACAGACTACTTCAAGCTTTATTCTGTTCTGTTCCTTAGCAGGTCAAGTGATACCTGTCTCGGAACACCTCTGTCCAAAAGTCTGACAACATTATCTTGTATAGCATCTGTACACTGTATACTGGTAACATTAATGACTTGTCACCACGGTGGTGCACTGCCCCTATGGAATGCTACAAGGAACAAAGCACTAAACCACATCTGGCTCACCTCAAGACTCCCATACTCGGACTCGAACGGAAGTGCGGAACGAACATGACCACATCATCTACATGTCCACAGGTGAGCAGACAAAACGCCATCAGAAGTAAGACTCTAGACCGGTTTTCGTGCCCTTCCAGTGCTGCACCTCGCCCTCATTCAAGTTGGCCACCACGAACTCCCCACCATCCGGAAGCCCTCGCGAAAAGCGCGGCGGGTATCTCATCGCCCGGTCGATCGGAAGACACTGGAAGCCCGCTGCCCAAGCCCGGCGATCGAGGCTTAGAAGTCCGTCTCTTGGAATCAAACGTCGAAACCTGAGCAAGGTCAACTGGCCCTCATAGTGCGTCAACTGGCATAAACCTATATTGTACATTGAAATGATTTGACATTGTCACACTCTGTCTCAAACAGTTCGGGATTTGAACCAAGATCCGGGGCGAAGCCTTTGGCGGCCGGACCCAGTCAGTCTTGTTAAACCCAGTCAGTCACTCTTTCGAACAAACACTCCAGTCCATGAAGCCGACCACATAGACTCTGGACCAAAAAGGATCAACAGGGTCAACTCGCCGAGTAGTTGGCGCTCGTCCCCAAGTCAGCTGGGTTACGCCGTCCTCCACGTCCAAAGCATCGAAAGCATAATATATCCCAAAAACATGATCCAACCTCATCTGGACACGAAGTCTGGGCACCCTTCTACCCCCCAAAAAATGGTCTCCTATATATCTCCTATATGTAGGGGGCACCACACCTCGATCTCCATCTCCCGACCATCCGAAGAGAATGAATGGAACTCAGAACATCTGTCGACAGATCCCTAAGTAGTAACTAGTATAAGATAATTAAGATAATATCCCAATATCTGTAAGTGTTGGGGCTTCTAGGTGACAATGATTGGACACATACCTGGAACTTCGTTACGGCAATAATAATTGCCGTTTTCATGAAACGTCGCCTTTTTCCGTTCTGCGGCGTTCTTCCATATTGATCTCATGGGGACGGCGTTTCTTGATGAACTGCGGCAGTTTCGGTCAGTTGACGGCAATTTTGGTCCACACATCTATGCGCCTCAAAGAGTCATTTTGTTTTAGTTTTAGTGCAGGCGAGTATGAAAACATTGTAGGGTCTAGCTTGAAAGGCAACTGAACGTAAAAGGCGTCTTATTATATCAGCAAACTCGCATAGTCATGCGAGTGGAAAGGGCAGCTGATGGAAGTGCCACATGCTGGGTTTTCGTCGGTTTTCGCGGGTAACTCGACCTCTTGCGCGGCGTTGCAGAAGATTTTGCGTTTAAAGCTACGGCGTTCTTACCCGTACTTGCGGCGTTTTTCCCCGTACTTACGGCGTTTTTTCCCGTACTTACGGCGTTTTCCCCCTACTTACGGCGTCGTTCCCTTACCCTGTCTAGGGTCACTCAAGGTGGCAGCAAGACTTGTCACAACATGTCACAAGCGATCCTTTCAGCCATTGCATGATCAAAATGTGAACAAATCCTGCCGTGATGTCAATCGAGACCTTAGACAAGGGCTGCAACATCTTGAGAAGTGCTACCATGAGGCTTGAAAACGATGAGCTCTACTTACAAGTGAAAAAGGAGAAGGCAATTTCAGGGTATGGAAGGACCAAAACAATATCCTCTTTGGTAGATCAAACAAAACGGCGGCGATTCTTCTTTTGTGACGGCGTTTTCACTTCTCTGACGGCGTTTTCACTTTCCAGGGATTGAGCTACGGCAGAAAAAATGAGTTACGGCAAAAATTATTGCCTCAACAGCCTACGGCAAAAATTATTGCCTCGGGAGGGTCTAGGTATTGCATGGTCCTGGTCTATATGAGATGGTATGTTTCTCTTTAATGGTTTTTTTGCTTGTTTTTTGTGTTTTCTTTCCGGGATGTTTCTGCGATGTCTTGAGGCTTTTGTGGTGACCCCCCGACCCATCTCGACCATGGACATGACGAAATTCGATGACACCAGACTGGAGAAAATACGCTCCCTTAGGTTTATGCGCTTAGATGTTTCTCTTTCAAAACGTCAGACCTGGAGGAGATGGACGCACCCTCCACGCCTTGATCCACGATCTGTGGCAAGATTTGGTCCAAGTCCTGTATACCGTCCGTGGCAGACTTGGTGTGCGGAACGCGGAACGTCCGGGCGGAGCGCGCGGCGGAACATGGCGTCCGGTCGTGTCCGGTGGTATCCGGTGACCACGTCATGTGGGGTCATCTTGGCTCAGACTGAGCCACTGAGCCCGCGGATCCGATTTTCGGGTCAGAACATGGTCATGGTGACCATGGTTCTAAGTTGTTCGATACCCTACGGCCCTACACCCTCAAGTGTGCTACCCACTTGAATAAGATGGCAAACCTCTTTTGCGCCAGCGAAAAAGCCCTTCAAACTCACACATGTCATGACTTTGATTCAGCTGTTGTAGATCCAACATGAAGAGAAGTAGCAAAAGCTTCTGGCAAAACAACTCGGATCCAAGTTCGGATGAACGCGAAACAAATCGAGATTAGGTCACAGCTTCTCACTACCTCACTGCCGACATCAGAATCAGGTTGATCCTATTTTCATCTATTTTCCAAATCCGACACGTAACATTGCTGTGCACGGAAATCGTTCAATCCAGCATATATCCAGCTAATCAAAGGCATATGTCTTACGTATCAGGCTTTTGGGGCCTGACTCTTCAGCTCAGTTACGACCCGACTGCCATCCCAGCGCTCCTCCAGGCTCAAGGATGATGGGATCCGCGCCATGGGACAAGGAGATCGCCCCAGGATCGGTGAGGTCGGTGGTTGGAGATCCGCACCGCTGGCGCGGGAGTTCTGCGGTGTTTGGAAGAAAAACACGGTGAAAAGCAGAAAACAAGCAGAATCATGTAGAATCAAAGGATTCGCGAATTGGTCAATTTGGGTTCAGGAAGAACCATATGGGTTTCACTCTTTGTGAGAAACTAAGAATGCTCAGGTTGTCACGCGCAACATTGTTCACCAATCAGTCTAGACTCCATTGCTGAAGTTGGTCAAATCCACGATTCACCCAAATGAACTCCACTGAGAAATAGCTTTATAATGCTCCAATATACGCTTAGAACGATGCTTAAATAGTGGCTGCTGGGCTGAGGATAGTCACTATCCTCAGGCCCCGGCGGTTACATCGAACATCCATCAACTTAGTATCGACTTTGTCCACATCAGAACCCAAAGATCTTGGCATGTTGTGTTTTTGAAGCTGCTAGCAGTCTGACGGATCTTGGATTCTCGCCATGTTCTCACATGTTGGATTGCAGAACCAGTAGGAGGGGGGCATTGGCTTCAACCCTCCCACTCTCCTTCGCTGTCTAGGGCGGTCTGCGAGCCAGCTCAGGTGCCGCAGTGCGGAAAACACCGGAACTTCGGCCGGCCCAAACCCCAAACGAGAAACCGGCCGTAGAAGGATGTGCAGCGAAGAGCGGAGCGTCATTTTCGCGAACCTGAGTGCGCTACTCTATGCATAGATCCAGCAAATCGCTTTACATCGTTTTACTATTGAGTGACTGAGTGTCCCCATCTGCGGAATACACAAACCAAACCATCAATGGTGCAAACGTTGGTGCAGCATGGGCAGCATGCGGTTTGGTGCTGCACACATCGCATCTCAACCGGCTTCAGACCGTCTCGAAACACGTACTGAAGTGTTCGCTTCATCCATCGCGCACGGTTCCGGTTCTCCTTTTCTTCACTTACCCCAGAAGTGTAAATCTGCTTTGGGCCCGCCGATCTTCAGCTGCTCCGCTGCATCTTCCAGGCGATCCACGGTGCGTTTCAGCTGGCCTTACGTGCGTGGGAAGAATGCAGCTCAGCTCAGCTCTGCATATCTGGCCCCCGGTCCTGTGACTTACTATCCCGATCCAATGGAGAAACACACAAATTGCGAACGGATGGAAAGGTGTGCCCTGGCCCCGTTCTAGCCCTTAATTCAACATGAAGCTCGCGCGCTAAAGCTCCTTTTTTACCTGGTTGGGCACTTGAGCCAAAAGTATATGGCATGTACCTGTATAGCAACTATACTGGGACCTCATCCCTATTGACACCCCCCACATCCGTACTTCGACGGGGAAGGGAGATGAGTGGATGCAAAAACCGGAGAACGAATCACGTTCTCAAAAGTGTATTGGAGGTCAACCAGTATGTCCTATTGAATTGAATTAGCAAACGATCTTGCATTCGCTTGAAAGTTGGATCAAACAGGTAATGGAGCTACAAACGGAAAACGTGCACCTACCTATGGTATCATGCGATTACCAGCGGTGTGAAACACAATCCTATCTCACTCCCATGACGCCAAAACGGTCATCATGAATTACCCAAGATCCCTCAGTACTTGAAGTACCAGAAGTGGCATGTCGGTATGACCCCAATGCTCAACCATTCGTGAGTTGTCGCATGTAGTCAGCGCCGACAAAGCCAATGTAGTCCTTGATGAGCTCAACGTTCCTCGGATTTCCCGCTCGGATCTGCTCCTCGAAGAACTTCAATTTCTGTGCTTGGATAGCGGATACCTCTATGCCATAGTAGCGGCATGCAACGAGGATCTCCTTCGTGACATTCTTCCGCTCCGATTTGATGGCGGGACTAATGTCGATGAATTTGTATGGAGCGGCACTTTCGTCATCTGGTTTCTGGTAGTAACTATATCGGCTCGCTCCGAAGGTCTTCCTGATCAAGCGTCTGATGAAATTTGAGATGAATGCCAGTTTCTCGATGATCTCTTCCTGGGTCTCAGACCTTCGAGCCTTTGGATCACTCATGTTGCGCCGAGTGCTGCCGACCTCTTTGAGGTACTTGTGGCTAAGCCCGCAGCGGATTGCAGTGATCATCATCGGGTGAACAACGTGGGCGTGGAATTCATAGATCTGCCACGCTTCTGTTGCATACACGTCGTTGGTCCGTTTGCTCATGCCTACGACCTCGGCTCTCTGGAGACGTCTTGGAAACCCAGTATCCGGATCATTCGGTACTATTGGCCATCTATTGTACGGAGTGTCATGCCGCTGTCCATCGTCGAACTTTCGCAGTACGTCTTCACGACTCTCAAAGCAGTTGATGTCGAACGTTGCGTTGGCCAAGCTCTTGATCAACTTCATCAACCTCAGATCAAATTGCTGTGCGACGGCAAAGTTGTGGTCGATGGGGATCGCAGCTTCTTGCGGCAATTCGTCAATTGCGAAGGGGAAAGGCTGTGGAAGTTCATTCCCGTATCCATCTTGAGGGACCTCCCGATATTCGGGTTCGCCTTCAGCTTCGTCCGGTCGTTCCTTCAAAATGATAGGAAC